CTCTGGGCTCGTACCCTGGTAAGTGCTCCTTCCTTTCTCTATTACGCACTTTGTAAGATTCTAACTTGGCTTTTACATGTATACATGCATACATACCCAGCCAAGCCTCCTCAGCACAACCAGTCTATAAAGAACTCCCACAAAAAAAAGGCCACACATTTGGACTTAATAAATTTCATTATGTACAAGCCTTATTTTTTAATTTTCATTGAGTATAACAGCATATTTACTTGCATAAACTGTACACCCTTTTAAAACAAACTCATGTCTGAAAGCTGTGGTGCATAAAATATGTCAATATTAGTCCTCACAGCAAAATTTACACTTTAGGTTGAGGTTACAAAACTTATGGCTGCGAAATACTGTAACATGGATGGCCAGAGCATTTCTAGACAATGACCTGTAAACAGCCTTCAGTTGAATGCATTACAATAGGACGAATGTTTATCGCAGCGTTGCTAGGTGACAATCAATGTGCCAATGGACTGGCAAGGTAGCTTATCACATGACTGACTTTCTATGGGGTCCATGACATGACCACTGCTAGGCAGTCATTTGGTAAACGTGTTTCAACAACAGAGGCTGTGATTTCTGCGTGGTTGGTGTGGATATATAACAGCAGTTACAAATATAACTGCTTTCAATTTTTAAGTGACAGTGACAAAGTGGAGAGTCCAGGATTCGGCCTCTGAGAATTTAACTTGTAATTTTAAGGCTTTATGAGTGCTATAGTGCAGTGATATTGGGTGTGTGCATTCCAGTGAGACTGTTAATAGTTTCTATGTTGAGATCCATTGCCAGGAGATGACTAGTGAAGACTGGAAAGCCTAGTGCATGTGAAGCGGTGAACTGGAAAGTGTGTAAATCAGCAAGAGCGCTGTATTTACTGTATTTAAGTGTGTTTAAGAGAGGTTGTGACCAAAGTGCTAATAAATCCAATCATCTGAAGTAGAACCCATCATTTTTGTCGCATGTATCACCCTACACATGACAATATTAAGAAAATGAATGAGTTGTGTGGCAAAAATAGCACAATTTCTTTCAAACAAAATTCACAATCCACATCTTGAACCTCACTGTGTAAATGTTACATTCTCCTCTATCTGACATCTTTCAAATCATTACTTATTATGGGAATTTTAACAATATGAAATCCTTGATTGTACTAAATACAGTAAGGTGCCAAACACATAGAACAACACAGAAAAAAAAAAAAAAAAAAGTCGCACAAACACTGACATTTTTATGGCAGCTTCCCTTCCCATCCCTGCCTGAAGTTGCTTTAAATTTCCTAAAGTACATTTACTTAAATCATGTTTCAAAACAAGACGTGGAAAAATAAAATAATGAGAGGCAAGATCATGGCAATACCATTCAGATGTCCAACAGCAGCATCCATGTCTAATCAGTAAAGAGAAGGAGATGGGGTGAAGATTTAAAATTACTTGCGTGAATCGTGCATCACTAATGCACTTGTTTTGCCCTCAAGCTATTTATGATTAATGAAACGTATGTTGATAAAGATACATACACTGATAGCCTCTTTTGAGAGTTTTAGAAAATGAAGTCAAAGAGTGCAAAAATCACAGGAGTTAATGGCCTGTGTTTCAAGCTACTTCTATCACTTAGAAAATTACACATGAAATAAAAAATGCATGTGAGAAGCCAGTATTTATTTAAATTACATTTTGGCAGTTCCTTATACAGATGACGTCTACAGCACATGTCAACAGAGAAAAGCAAATGGACTGCAAAGATCAGAGATCTTTCATGTGTATCTAGCCTCAATTTGGAGAACATACATTACTTAATTCTTTTCTAAATTTTTTTGTCTAAAAGTAACTGTACATAAATCATGCAAGTAAATATGGCATAAGAAAGTCACATTTGCTATAAAATATATACAAATACAACAGTTGCTTAAAGGCAATATTCACTGTGAATCCACTCTACTTATTAAACTGTTTATAATTCCAACAAAAGAAAAAAATATTTCTTCAAACTATTCTTGTTGGATGTGTAATAAATTAAAAAGTGAAGGTCTGAATCATCTGAAAATAACCCAGGTTCGAAAAGTGAAAGCTAGAGATACTCTTGCAGTACTTCTTTTTATTTCTAGTGGGGTGGGACTAAGGGCCCCCATACACAAGTTTGGTCTTCCGTTTGGCCTGCACAGTTGAAGACTGAAAGGCAAAACTGACGTGTGTGGTGCGGCCGGCCAGCCGGCCGGCCAATCGTTTAGACTGTTGGCCTGTAGGAAACCCATCAGTCTGTCAGTTCGGCCTGCAGGACCATAGCACGTGACGTGTGTGACTCAGCATTATAGGCTGGAAGACCCTGACCGTGGCATGAAGCCTGCCGCTTTATCTGTGCGTGTATGGGGAGGAAAGGGAGGGGGTAAACTGTCACAGTTTTGCCTGTAAGGTCGATCGGAAGGCCAAACTGTGTGTGTATGGGGAGCCTAAGTCCCTTGTACTGTGGCCACTTCTGGCCTATTGTTCCAGCCCCAGATGTTAGGTGAGGGTGATTGTGGAGCAATTGGTGGAATGAAGATTGGCAGGGGAAACCGAAGTACTCGGAGAAAACCCGCCCTAGCGCCACTTTGTCCACCACAAATCCCACTTGACCAGACCCGGGATCGAACCCGGGCCACCACGGTGGGAAGCCAGCGACTAACCGCTTGAGCTATGGCGCGGCCCCTGTTGCAGTATTAATACACACACATTACACAACTAAAGCATTGTAAAGCATCACAGTGACCAAGTTATCAATATGTGTACACTTTTTAGTCATATGTTAATGACATTACTGGTATTCACTATGATCAGTACTTGCAATTAACTACAAACTTATCAGTAGGCGATACGTAATTCTATTTTTTCTTAAGAAGAACACAAATGTAAGTATTTATAATGAATATACAGGATTATTTGACGTATAATAAATGTTTGAACAATATGAAGTTGCCAGTTACCCTTCATTTTTTGATTATTAGTTATTCTTTATACATAGCACACAGCAGAGGGGGAGGTGTGACTAAGGTTTTGGGCATATCTTCATTCAATTTCTCTAAACAAATGATAGTACCTTAAACAAGCCATTTCCAATTTCTTAAAACCTTTCTTCTTAACTCAATATTACTTTTAATTTGAAACTCCATAACTTTCAAGCTGACATAGTGTCAGGAGAAACACAGATTACATGTGACAGCCTTGGTTCAATTTTTTCCAAGGTCAACAATCCAAACTAAGGCATTCTGAGGTTCTACTCTGTTCCTCCAAGAAAATTCTGACATAATACCTTAATACAGGACACAACTGCTTTCTTTCACATCCTTTAAAATTTGTTTATTCACAATATTTGTCCCAATATAACATACATAACAGAGAACTATTTGTCAACTAGACTATGAAAGGAGAATATAAGTATTAGTGCAGAGCTAACCATTTCAGTCACTATCACAGATTTTTCTGCATAATAAACAGCAAACAATGCTACAGTTACTAAAGGGGCATGTAATCACAAGTGGTTCTAAAATATGGTAGTCGTGAGCCAAGATTAATGCTGCTTGATGAGTTGTGCAAAAACTTGGACCTGGGAGAAATTGCAACTATTGCAAATGAAATACTAAAAGAAATGTCAGAACCTATAAGAGCAAAATTTCTTTTAGACAATAAAATACTTGAACAAACAAGGAAGCTGCATTATACACCATGAGAGGCAATGATGTTAATACAAAACTAAACACATTTTAACTGTTAAGTGGAACTATGACATGCCTCAAACAAATCTAACTGAAATTACACAGAGGAATAGCTACACTGATGCTTTCATGTGAATCTGAACGCTGGATATTAAAGTATTTCCTCAGAGCATTTGCAAAGAAAAGAATAAAGGTAATGAAGATATTACAGAAGACCTGGTAACAACATATCAAGAAAATGATATTTGGTAAAAATGCCAGCAAATAGAAGCTTGAAGGTCCTCTATGAAAAGAGCCTGAAAGATAGAAAATGCTAGGGGTATTCACTGAACAGATGGATCAGCTTTAACCTTTGTAACCAGACAGGTCAAGGGCTTAAACCAAAAAGCTGACAATGATAATATAAAATAGTTTACATTGATGGTTCAATACAGGAGTTTCCTCACTGTTAGCTTCCCCTTCTATGAAGATCACAAAATCAGTAAAAGGTAAGGTAAAGTTGTCCCTGTGCTTCTAAGCACTATGCCATGATGATGTATGGGGGAGTGGGTGTACAGACCCACATTTTCTTGACCTGGGCACTAGTTGGAGGTGAGTGGTCAGCTTCATGCCATGGCCACTTTACCCCTAGGGAAAGAGTCCCAAGTACCCACTGGATAGGAGGCTGGGTGGGCCCCAGAGCTGGTGTAAAAGACACCTAAAAGTGAAAATTCTTGCCACCACAGGGACTCGAACTCTGACCCCTGCGCCATCCAGCCTGTAGCCAGTAGCTATACTGACTGTGCTATCCTGGCTCTACACACAATCAGTACTATTTTTAAACTGTTGGATACTGGATGCTTCTCACCAGTGCCAAATGTGAAGTCTATTAAGGTTAGCAACAAAAAACTGGTTTCTTGACAAAAATCTAAATCAGTATGGTGACTACATGCAGGTAGTATAACAAAGACATAACAATTTCTTTTGGTGTTACACTGTACATTCCAATTTTTTGATCACTCCATTTAAAGAGTGACATATACAATAAACACAATCTCACCAAAAAATAATGTACCATTTGCTATGCATAAAGAATGCTTGAGAATGGACTGCATATTTCTTCATTGTAAGTAAAGAAGAGTATAATTTCAAGCAAAATATCTGCTTCCAATCAGAAAATAAACCTATAATGAGAAATTTGGGGTTGTACTCATGATCCAGAATATGTGACTTACAATAAGCCAAGTGTTTTGCAGCCAAAATATTAGATAAGCACAAAAATTTCCTATGCTGTAACAGAATGTGAGTTCAGTCATACCTGTTGCTCCCTTCCAGAAGGCTCGAAGCCCCTCCTCCTTGTATATTTTCTTGGCAGCATCAAGAACTCCTGTGTATGTTGTCTGCCCTGCTCTTGCTACAACCTGTGAAAAAATAATTATGTGTGGGTTTCATAATTAAAGAATAAATCACTTAATCATTCTGATTTTAAATCACCATTTTTGAAGCAGTTTTAATTTTGTTCTTCGTTGTCCAGGAAATCATATCATTACAAAAAAGTGTTCCAAAACACTTTCTTTCATTGAAGACTTCCAGACTTAAAAATTCTGATAGAAACTCAAATCATAACTAAAACAACACATGGAAAAGAAAATGAAAAATGACCTTTGATGGTACATAAAAGAAAAATATAAAGAACACTTAAACCCAAAACTTGTTCATTCTCTATTATCAGTGAGAGAAACATTCATGACTTACTGTAAACTGTCCAAAAGTAATAGTATAGGCTCAGCATTCAATATTTCTTTGTCACTATGTCATCAAAATCCAGTTTAATACACGCATGCTCTGGCAAAGGGACACTGCACATTTGAATTCTGGATACAGTTAATCAAGTTAAGTTCTTCATCCAATCTTGCTTCCATGTAGAATTAGAAGCAATTACAATCATTCCAACACACTGTGGAAATTCCTTCCATTCTCACAAAATGCTTCTTATGGAAGAAAACAATATATCCCGAATAACAATCACTGAAATCGAAGGAACTGTAAAGTTACACTTTTTCTTGAGGCAGAAGTGTTTATAATGAAAACAACCATCCATAACCGGATGTACAGCAAAACACAGCAATGATTCTTTTTTAAGGGACCTGGTGTGATGAATAATTTACTGTGGAAGAAAATTTTGCACCTGTAGTCGCGTCTTGATGACATCAGCAGGAGTGACAAGTGAAGCTGCAGGAACACCAGCAATGGCGCCAGCAAACAGAAGTGTCAGCGGGCTGTTGTAGCCATTCTCATCTGCCAATTTTACTTTTGTGTGGGCATACGCTGGGAAGTAGATGGCACTAAAGGGAACATCACGAAGAAAACACGCTTTTGCTCCCTGAAAACACATAGAGAGAAAGGAAAAAAAAAGGTAGAGAACAGTATCAGCATTTCATCATACATGCAACCATGCCAGAAACCTTGTAAATGAAGATTACAGATTCAGATGCTGCCTGTGATTTCTGTTAAGTCACAGAGAATTACTGCAGTCTCCTACCCAGCTAAAGAAATTACTTACCCTGCATGGCAATAGACAAATAAGTAGTGTGAATCACTACTAAGCCATCAGCTTCACGACACCAAATTGTTCCCTGATTTATTTAATAATGCTTACATTAATTGCATAAATAATACAGAATTATATGACAAGATAATTATTAACAATGAATTAGCAAAAGTGTATATTCTTCACCTGGGGGGTTTTACTTTCTACTGTAATAATAAAAACTGCTTATTTATTAGATCACCTTTATGAATCTATTCCCATTGACCAACATTCTAACCAAACATCGTTACTGTTTGCACTCCTGCTTTGTATTCAGTAGGTACCAGGTTCAAATCTCAGGCTAGATAGTGGCTACACTGAATGAGGGTTCTGTGGTTTTCCTCAGTCTCTTCAGAATTGCTGCCTTCCATATCCTTTCCAATTCATTATTCACTGCTTTATAATACCATTCAATGTTATGCAGTCTCAGCTACTGACAGCAACATTAAATAAGGCATAAATAAATAAGAAAAATAAAACCAATAATTTATTACCACTATGTGCAATTTACTGATCACTTTATGCAATAACTCACTGCCCTGCAATGAAACAGCAGTGTACATAAGTCATACTTGCACTTCAAAACCAGTCACATGCAACAGGCAAAGAGAATTGGCCAAATGGATTTTGTACATAAAAGTGGAACACAGCTGTGTCCTGTTTTTACAGCGCCATCCCAGCATTTGTGGCAAGAGCTGATAAAAACCTAAATACACATCATGAGTGTGCCTGGTCTCTGGTCTGAGATTTGAACAAGATACCTCCCATAAACGGAGTAAGCGTGCTAGCCATGAAACTGTGACATTAGGTTTCTATGGAGCAGGATGTTCTTGAGAAACTGTCTGTTCCTTGGGTACAATTAAGTCACTGTACGTGTAAACATGGTATGCAACTAGTGCCAAACTTTTAGACACATTACTCACAAATTCCTACATCAAATCACAATAGCATATGTTATGCATTCATGAACAATTGCCAGCATATTTTTCCCGCATTATCTTCTGCCAATGGTTCCTATAAAATATCAGAAGTTTAGAATCCTAGTTTTGGTCCAGGGTTGAAATGCGTTTGGCAAATGATCACTCTGAATGCACTGTACAGAGTCTCACCTTGTACATTCCAAAGAGGCCAAGTTCCTTCACAACATTGAGGGCACTGATCTTTGTTCCACTGGCAATTTCACCTGCTACTTGGAGACGAATCTTAACAATCTCCAATGGATTCGTAAATATAACTTGTGAACCACCAGCCTGGAACAAGCAATATTTCACACAAGTTCAATAAAGGCAGAGAAGTAAGGAGAATATTTGTAACTAAGAAAATGAAACACAAAAAAGGATGAACCAACTGTGTAATGATAAGCTTCATAAGTTGTATTCTTCATCAAATATTGTCAGGATGATCAATTCAGGGACTGTGAGACTAGCAGGGTATGTAACACAAATAGGAGAGGCCAAATTCTTATATAATTATAGCCTCAACTCCTGACGGGAAGAGATGACTTGGCAGATCAAAGGATACAGACAGGAGAATAATAGTAAAATCTATTACAAAGAAATAAAGTATAAGGGTGTAGACTGAATTTATTCAGATCAAGGCATGGAATAGGTGGGATCTTGCAAACATAGCAAGGAACAAGATGTATGGCTCTCACAATGGTGACTAGGCAGATTACTATGTTCTGGGATGTGATACATTATACATGCCACCACCCACAAACAGGATAACATTAGAATCAGAAGAACTGTCGCTTTTATCACTGATGACAATTTCAGTACCGGTCACCACCAAATGCACATGAAAGTGACAAGAAGCATACTGCATGTTTAAATGGTAGATAAATCAAAATATGCTAAATATTTCAAAAGACAGTGCACAGAATCAAGATTACTTACACAAGCCCCTGATATGATTTCACCATACAAAGGCAAGTTTCCATTCTTGTCCATGAATTTATCTCGAACGAAGTCATTTACCTGAAATATGTTAACACTTATTGAGTTTTGAGGTTTTTATGGTAGTGATTGTTCACACTATGGTCTCTGGTCTGTGACATCATAGTATTACAGCAGGATACTAATGTTTCAGAACCGCATGCTACCTCCAGCTTCAGGGTTGAAATGTGAAGGCTGGGGAACTGGCTCAGCTATACAGGCAAATCGCAAGGCAGGTGATAACAGAGACCCAAAGGAGAGTGTAAGGAAATGGATCCTGATACAGATCAAAGGAAACAGTGGTTAGGAAAACTGGCCTCTTAAAGGGCACACTGTTTTTCATCACAGATGGCATACGAAATCATGAGAAAAGAAGGCCCTTTCTAAGGGCACAACGTTATCTTCAGGGAAAAAGGTATAACTTGGAGAAATTATGATTTTTTTCAGGGCCCCAATATGTTTTGCCTACAGGACACAAATTTCAAAATTGAGATATGGGAAAAAGATGACATGTTACAGGGCCCCTGCAAATAGGAAATAAGGCATGAGAAATCAGCCCAGGTAGAGGAGTATACTTTCAGAAGAAAATAACTTGTCATTGGAGAAAAAATTCCTTTCCTCAAGGGAGTGAATAAGAGGATTCCAAGGCTTGCTAAGGGAGGATCTGGAACATGAGAACAAAGAAGAGGTTCTTCCTGAGCAGATTACTGAACCCTCTCAATGGTTCTCCAAGGAGGAGGAAGGTTCTGTTTAAGGACACAACAGTTCCTTCCTCCTGTGATGTCACTCCTCCACCCAGGCCTGGATCAGCATCCATTTCTTTATTCCCTTTCTTAGGTTTTAACTACCACCTTCAATGCAAACTGTCTATATAACCAAGATGAAGTCCTTAACCTACATATATTTCAACTATGGAGGCAGCACAAGTTTCCTGACATGTCAGTATCAACCAACAAAACTGCAAGGCATCAGAGCACAATCTTATGTGCAGAATTTTACACCAAGGAATAACATGACATACAACAATATTAGAGAAATTAATCAAATGAGAACAAATTTCTTAATAATGTTAGATCATGAGGTAGATTTTAGAAGTTCTACAGGACTTAATTTCAGTTTGGACCCTTGCAAATTCTAAGAATGTTGAACGTAATTTAATCCTTCAAGCCCTCAAGCCAGAGGGCATGCATGTTAACTGCCCTGCTGTCAGAGCAGCAGTTTAATGTCTGGCCACCAGTCTGTCAATATTTGTTCATAATTTTGTAGCCACTGAATGTCATTCCAAGATTTTAACAAGGCAAAAGAAATAGACTTCATGCTCTCAACTAGTGCTTCAAAATATTAGAAAACTTAAAAATTATTTCAGTAATTTTCTGGAGAAGTGTGTACATGATTATAATGAAGTAAGGGGAGGAACTAACTTGAAAGACCAGAAACTACAGCCCCTATATTTTGGAAAGGATGAGAGAAATGAAATGGTACCTAAGATTCTTTAGCTGAATCCTCAGTGTGAAAGTTCATAATTCATACATCTACAATACTCAAGACCAAAAATTGCATTGATTAGTCTACAGAAATAATCAGCCAAAGTCATAATTAACACCTACAGACCACAAATACCATCATCTCCAACAGCTGGTAAACCTTCAATCAATCCTCCATCCAAATGCCTCTTTATATGACATTTCATCTGTGGGAACATCCCACATTATCATGCATTTCTGCAATGCTCGCTCTTCACATCACTTTTCACCATCACGCGCGCTAACCAATCAGATTCCTTCAAACGTTCGCATTTATACTGCGCTCACTGCTAGCCCGCAACTACACCATTACGCGCGCTAGCCAATCAATTCTTCCTCCTCAATTTCAAGTTTCGCTCCACCCACCGAGCAGTGTATAAAAAGGGGCAGATCCAACGCTGAGTATTCAGATGATCATCAGTCTATGAGCTAGCCACACCAAGCAACATCAGCCAGCAGGCTTCGTCACCAGCGCTCGGTCTTCGGAGGCATCGGCAGGCTGCGCCAGGCACGACTGCCTCGGCCCTCCGGCTCTCTCACACCCGACTCACTGGGGCACAGCGCCTGGACTCGCCGGTGGTCGTGTTACTGTCCGACGCACTGGGCATCTGGCGTAGCCACTGCCTCATGACTCCTACGACCGCGCTCAACGACTAGCCTTTCACCAGCAGCCGCCGTGCTGCGATCAAGCAACCTCCAACTCACGCTGCCGCACGGCAACCAAACAACCTCCAGCCACGGCCGCACTGCAGCCAGGCCACTCACCGCAACTAGCCTCTCTCCTTACCGGCGTGCGCTGCGCTACCTCTCCGATCAAACATCTCAGCAACCACGGTTCTTTTCAGGACCAACAAACTGTTCCGAAGAAGTGGGTTGTCATCGGAGTATTGACAAAACTACACATAAGAGCCCCACACATCAAAAGAAACCCAACTACGGGTAAGAAGGCAGGCCCTATAGAAAAAGTTTTTGTACAAAGTCTGGTGTTAGGAGACATATTGTTCACTGGCGTCCTGATTGTCAGGAATGACTGTGTGTTGATTCCTGCTTCAGTCTATTCCATATCAAACAGGATTTTTGAGGTAGTAAGTTTAACCAAAGGACATATTGTAAATGAAGAGAGTAATTACTGCCATTACATTATATCACCACTTATACTGTTCACTATATTCACTACTCCAAATTTGGAATTGACTGGCATCATAAGTTCAGAAATGATGACAATTTTTGTGATGGAATGTCAAATTCTTACATTGCCTGGGGGTTTAATTCCCACCACAGAGTAAGGATAAAACTGCCTGTAGCTTGAGGGACTAAATTATTTCCATAGAAATCTTGTCATGTTTACTGATGCACACATGAGACATACAGAAAAGATGACACACAGACATGATCTGATTTTCTAAGAGTAAAAAAAAAAAAAAAGGCAGTCTTCTAAGAATCCCATTTTCACTTACCGTGAGCTTGATAGCTTTTTCTGGTGCCACACCCATTAGTTGCGGCACAAGGCCTCTATACAAACCAAAAAAGCCTTCATGCCTGATGACTTTCTTACAGCAGTCAAAGCTATTTCTGTACATCAGCTCACCAATGAAGGAGCCTGTCCTTTGGTTCTGCATTCTCGTCTTAACTAAGTCGATTGGATACACTGCTGTTGCACCCACAGCTATACAAATAAATTTTGCCATATCAGTGAGAACATTTAAGCAGCAGTTATAAAATATCTTATACCATATTCAAATTAGACCACAGGCACATCAGAACCTGCAGTCATTCTTTGTAAAGAGTTTACTGAAAAGATTTACAACAAACAAATAATTACAATTTTCATATATAAATATGAAAATCCTCTGACTTCAAAGTGGAAGCAGTGAAAATAACTTCTTTTCAGAAAAGCATTCTGACTTCAAGGCCAAGATCTATTTGTCACTGTCAGAAACACAATGCCCAATTGCTTCAGTGGAAAGGGATGTGAAGGACTCCATCAGTGGGCTACATGAATCAAAAGGACATGCCTGAAAATAAAAGACAAAAAAGACAGTTCATACTATAATTTATCTGTATTTATTTTTGGTCTACTTCATGACGCTGCCAGTAGGTCATTATCAGAGAATAATAAACTGAAAGGATATCTGAGGAACTATACCAGCTTTCATCTGCAGAAATTAAGGAAAACCACAAAAAAACTTAGTTACATTATAGATTGTCTCTCAGACAAGATTTTAAACCAGTACCCCTTTCCCCAAATATGAAGCACAATCCACCCACTCGACTGTGACATCATCAGTCACATTGCAATTGACAATCATAGTCCATAACAAGACCACCTGAATGACTGGAAACATAACGTCATTTCAGGTCACTGCTTATCACCTTTAAATTGATGAGACACTAACTGTTAGTCAAATATCTGTTAAAAACAACCTCCAAGAGATCCCTTTTGTAAACAAAGTGTATACATTCCTTTTCACATCATATGCATGTGAACATGTGTGCATATACACATACAAATTCTAGTTCAGAAGTGTAGTGTGCTGGTTACCTATAAACCCAAGAAATTAACATTTTCATGGTTTAATCTCTATACCGTTTGTTCACAGACAACACTTTCTACTTAAGCCTTTCTGTACATTCTGAAGAGAAAGTTAAATCCCGATTAAAGGTTCCCAAATTTAGAAAAATCTTGTTACTTAGTGAATTCTTCTTGGCCCAGCTGAAGCTCAACATAAAATATGCATTACTGTCCCATATTCAACAAATTTCAATTAATTACTGAACAACAATCAATGTGATAAATTTTCAGCCTTCCAAAACTTGTGCCTTGATTCAATGAAAGTGCAACTGAAATAACAATCAATATTCACAGTATCCTTCTGCCGCAAAGAGTTACTTACTACACAACTATAATGTGGCAAGTGACTCTATATACACATCAAAACCATGACATCTGTGGCATCACAGTCAAACTGATTCCTCATTAAGGTTCTTTACTGTTTATTTCATATATCACTAATTATTTTAAAAACTGATTGATATCATTAAATAAGCAATTGTATTTGTTTGTAGAAACAATTTCTCTAACTACTAATGCAAATAAATTATTTTCTGATAATTGTACACAGTAAATATTACAAAAAGATGAACAGTTTCTTGCTGTTTTGCATAAACACCCTTTAGTGGAAATCATGATTTCAAGCAAGAAAAGCCATTCCCACAACATACTGATTAAACAGGCATTTCCTGGTATAAATGCATGTTTGAGCACAGAACTGCAGAAAGTGCACGTGGGTGGGGAAAGCACGGTGTAATAAATTCTCTGCTAAAGCATGAAGAAATCATCTTGGCATTAACTTACCACCACCAATGGAGCCAAGTGTGAACCTGTACGCGCTCTCTAGGATCTGAATCAAGAGGCCTCGCTCTTCAGGACTCTGTAAACACAAATTCAAATTTTCTGACGAATTTGTTTTATTTTGGTGAGACCTTCAAAAGAAAAGTTTTATCATTCTTCTTGTGAAGTGGTACAATAATAGACTCCTTAGTTAGATCAGGCAATTTTTCCTCATTCCAAATAAAATTAATTAGTTTCTGGCCCTTAGAATGTAATATTTCAACATCTGCTTGAATCAGTTCTGCTTAAATTTGATCACTACCTGGCGATTTATACCGTTTCAACTTTGCAATAGCAATTTCAATCTCAAGAGGGCTAGGATCAGGTACTAACGGCTCAGCTGTATGCATCTCTCTATCTGCCTAAATTTACTGATCCTATGTACATTCAATAACTGACAGAAGTAGTTCTTTCACCTATACATACATACATACTTTATTTCACTTCCATAAATCCTATCAGGAGTTACAAACTCATGTGGATGTGGAGATCGTCTTGGTTACAAATTTGGCACAAGATACAACTTGTCGTACAAATATCATAAACATTCTAATACAATCCATTACAAGTAAATTACAAGTGGAAAACATTCATAATGCTGTGAGAATCTGCAAGCAGATCACCATTCTCATCCTTCTCTAACTTGCTGCTAGCTTGGTAAACCCTCTTAAAGTAATTTATTTTTCTATACAGGTCTCTAATGTTCTTGTTCTTACTGTCCATTGCAAGCTCATTAATTTTGTCTTTCAGATATTCCCTCTTTCCATTCCTGAAATGCCTGCTGGTTTCATGTCTTATATTGTTCATATTATCCCTATTTATTTCGCTTGGATCCTGTAACAACTGCAGTTTGGCTTGTTTCCTTTGGTCTAATAATTCTGAGCATCCTTCATCAAACCATGGCTTATGCTTCAATTCATAGTAACCTAGACTCTTTGTGGCTGAAATTTTGATATTCTCTATAGTTTCCCAAGCTCTATTAATTTCCTCCTCAGTGTCTAAGTTTTCCAAAGCTGTGAACCTATTTGAAATTTCAACACGATACTGTTCTTTACTCTCTGCCCCATTTAATTTCTGGAGATTGAACCTCTCCACATGAAGTCTAGGCATTGTTTGTTTACTCACTCCCAGTCTTTCCTTAATCTTTGCTGCCACCAGATAGTAGTCAGTATCATAATCTGCTGCCCTGAATGATCAGATATGAAGTATACTTGAATGCCATCTCCTGTCTCAAAATGTGGTCAGTTTGGTTGTACATTTCCAATCAGGAAATTCCCAAGTAAATTTATGAATGTTATGATGAGGGAACATCATGCTTTTGACAGTCAGATTTTTGGATATGGCAAAGTTTACTACTCCAACTCCACTATCATTACTAATTTCGTGGAAACTCTCATTCCCAATTGTTGGTTTGAAAATGTGTTCCCTACCTGAACAGCAGACAAATAGAAATGTGCATGCGATACGGTCAGATGATTCATCCTTCACACCGTTCCCTACATCAGAAAGAGTTTACATTTGGAGAACACCCAAGGAAGCCTCCAATCTGAAATTCCTGGTTCCAACAGTGGAACACAAGGGACGTTCTCTTGGTCCAATTATTGGCCTTCACAGCCGAATTCCTGCAAGGGAGTATATGGACAGGTTGGGTAATCAGGTGCATCCCATGATCCAGATGTTATTTCCGCACAATGATGCAGTTTTCTAAGAAGACAATGTTCCCATTCACATAGCTGGAACTGTTCAGTCATGGTCAGCACAGTCACCCGATTTGAACATCACTGAACCAGTCCGATCAGTTTTGGAGACTAGAGTGAGGAACAGATTCCCACCTCCAACATCTCTAAAGCAACTCGAAGATGTTCTTCAAGAAGAATGATATAGAATTCTGCTAGACTGTTCAAAACCTGTACGAGTCCATTCCAAGGAGGACTGCGGCTGTGTACTGAAGGCAAAAGGTGGTCCAGTATCATATTAATAAAGAAATGTGTACAGTACCTGTAGTGTTTCCATTATTTTGTTCAACTCCTGTATGTCACAAAACATAAATTTCACTAATATGTCTTTCATTTGAAGGATTTTTATGTATGGCAGATTTTTGAAGAGGAATAAAGAAAAATACACGTAATATATACCTCAAGGCAGTGCAACATCTCTATAAACAATGATACTGAATAACGGATGCAAAATCTTGAAGGTTGCATTTGGAAAATGTGTGATACAAACTACAGTACACCCTCCCATTCGTATTTCACGTGATGAGTAACTTGCTCATAATTCTATGCTGCAGCATCCTGTTGTGCTTTATTGCATGGGAATAAACATTACTATGCTTCAGATACAAATGCCAAATGATAATAAGCAATGAACATAACAAAAGATCACAAATAACAAAGCAACAAACACAACCAAAACAAACATAAGAGATAAGGGAAACATAATAAGAAAGAGTAAGAAAGAGTATTATATAATAAGTTAGAAAGTATGCAAAATCCTAATGATGAGCTCTTTGTAGTCAAAACATTTTTACAAGCCGGATGGTCGCAGGTTCAAGTCCCGATGAGGTCATGGGATTTTTTCAAATTGACCTAATCCTTTTGGCCGCACTATAGCCCTGTAGTTGACTCAGCCTCTAACAGAAATGAGTACCAGGAATTAATTAAATAATTTTCCCGGGTAGTAAAGCGCGGCCGGCGCAAAAGGCTGACAACCTTACCGCCATCTTTGAGCTGATTGTCTAGATAGTGTGGGACCCTCAATGTCTCACAACCCTATGGACCTTCGCAGCCTGTTACAGGGATAGCTTTACTTTACTAATTTTTACTTCCAGTATAACGGCAAAATAACATCACAATTAATGATGATTACTGTAAGTGAAAACAGTACTACTGATGTGTTGCATTATAAGTGAGTCTTTAATGTGCCCTGCAGAATGACTTCCTACTTACAGAAACAGCCTTGATCTCTGCCAGTCGTTTGGTGATCTGCTTAAAATACTGCTCAGGTGCAATAGCCTGGAGATCGTTGTACACTATTCTCCTGCAAGACACATGGATGTCAAATGCTACAAGAATGTATCATTCCCATACAAGACACATAATCTGAAGACTAGTGTAGCATTACAGAAACCAAACTAAAGTACAATACGTGATCAAAGTATATTTCACCAGTCAGAACAACCTATCCTAGTCATTCACATGTAAAATAATTTCTTACACAAAAACTGTAATTAACAATTGTAATACATGTCACTGTGAAAACCTAAAACGATATAGTACTTCACACTTCAAGTCCAAAATCGATCACTCTGACAGACAAATGACATTTAACTGTATGCGAAACCACACAACACAGAGAGAATGTTATGTCCCACATGTGAGGACATAATGATGACAAGTTCTGAGAAAGTTGAAATGTGGTGCATAATTCAGAAAATCATGATTCAGAAAAGATGTAAAAAAGTACAGCCCATAATATATGTTATACAAATGTACCTCTAATTAAAAAGACAAAACCATAATATACACCAACATCTTGCTCCGAGATCAAATTGAACCTTCTATAGAAGGTAAAAGGTAAAGTTGTCCCTGTGCTTAACTAATCAAGCACTACGCCATGAAGACACGTGGAGGAGTTAATGTATAGACCCACATTTTCTTGACCTTGGTACTAGTTGGAGGTGAGTGGTCAGCTTCACGTCCCGGCCGCTTTACCCCTGGGAAAGAAGGCCCGGTATCCACTGAACCCCAGGGCCAGTCTGGACGACTTAAGAAGTGAAAATTCTTGATCCTACCAGGACTCAAACTCTGACCCCTCGGTCGTCCAGTCCACAGCCAGTCACTATATCAACTATGCTATCCTGGCTCCTTATGAATCTTCTATATCTGTATTTAATTATTTATATCTAATATACCCAAATATGAACTACTGCTCATTCTGCTAGCATCAAACCAACTGTATGGATATAAAACACATTACTGCTTAGTGCCCAACTGTTACATCCTTACATTTCATTCCTATATCATCCACATGTACAAAAAATATTTTACTTTTATTTTACACACAGAGCATAAGAAACTGTAGAAATAATAGCAAACTGAATATTTAGTACAAAAGTAACTGATACATGTAAAGCATATTAAAAGTATTAATTCAAATTATGCACATAAGTAGATAAAATAGTAAGGTTGACTTGAAATAAATAGTAACAGAATTGTTACTAGTAACTCTGAACAGATGGAAATTCTTGACAGGATTGAAACTGATACATAACACTAACATTTTCTTTATCACACACTGCCATAAATAAAAACCATGCTCTAATATCAGACTTTGAGAAATAGCCATCAAATATAGGAAAAGAATTAGTCCTAATTAGTCTTCTTGTTTACCACAAACAAAATTATTCATTCAAGAATAAAACAAAATTCACATACGAAAACCCTCAAATTGGAATATCTGGTCATAATATAAAAATAAGTTTCAGAAACAAAATTACATACCTGAATCTTGTTACCATCTAACATTTGCATGCATTTTACTGGTTTGTGTAAAACAAGAGGAAACCATAAGAAAGCCATGGATTAAAATAACACTTCCATACATCATAGAACAGCACCATCCAAGAACTTCACAGAATATGCAGACTCTGGAGGCACATGGACAATAACATACATATGTATGATATATAAGAGAGTCTGATGGACAGAAAGTGGGACTAGTTTGCAGAATCATACAATTTACACAAGTAAGTGCGAACGTGTGTGAAATGATAAACATAATCACCCCAACCATTGACGTTGTTCTTCCCCAGGCCTCTTCGGCAAATAACTGAGCGATCCAGTATGGAAGCAAGAAAGAACAGAAAGAAAAATGGACGAAACTAGTTAGTCATCATTCCAGATGAGAAAGTGAGGAGGCTCTTTCATGAAATTTCAATTTGGAAGAATGGTGACTAAAATATTAGCTTAATTACAGTTTTCTTGTATAAAAGAAGGCAGTTCTTATTTCATACTTTTTATTTGGACATTGTTCAATGTCTTGGTCTTTAATTTAAGGTAATACAGAAGACATATAATTGTCATAATCTGGCATTACACTGTGTTACTATGTTCAAAATGAGTTTCTTCACTAAAAAAGGAAACACTCACTGAAGATTCTTTCATTACACTCCAGAGGAACAAATCTGAAATCAAATCTGATGAACACTGCTGTCGGCACATTTTAAAAGTCACTGTGAAAGTTGAAAATGTTTAGACAGCCACTTTTATAAACTTTTTGACAATGTTTTCTACATACTTCCACCACAGAAGTCTTTCTATAAATCAAATTATGGCCTGATATTGTACTAAACAAGTAAGCTCTTATAATTAACTTTCAAATACAAATTTCAGAGGAATATAGAGTTACTTTCAAATTTAATATCTACAGACCAAGGTTGCCGAACTTCTGGAATGCCAGCTGCATACAACGTGCCAAATGGATCTGTGTGACCCCCAAGAGCACTCTTCCATTCCCCACAAAATTTCTTAACCTTGTCCTCCTCTTGGGAGTATCTACTTGTGTGAAAGCAGTGTCTCAAACATGAAGTGTACACAGTCTTGATATCAATGTTCATTAACAGATGGTTCTCTTCCTCACTTGACTTGCTGTTACCAAGACAAATGTAGTTACATCAAATCTTAAGCACAACAGACCACTGTACGTTGCAGTGCAAGGGCCGAGAAAGCCCACCCCTTGTACATTCATTCATTGTACATCAAATCTTGTGAACATTCGTCCATAGTGCTCAGAATAAAAACAGCGTAGAATCTGGTGCTTTCTCTGTTTTGGCATCAGAAAATTAATTGCATTTTTCTACTGTCGGTAAGTAACATTACAGTATATTAAATGTGTATAAATGCTTTCAACCCCATGGGTCCAATTCCTATTCATGTGATTGTGCTTCACAGATCTGATCAGTGCAGGAAGATCTCGGTATACTTGAAGAAATATATTTTTTACAATGCTACACAACACAGTCCCTCAGTAATTTGATGCAGAACAAACCTGCTGCAGATAATGAAGTAAACAACAGGCAAAAGTGTTACAATTCTGCAGATTTTAAATGAGCTAGGACCATGTAAGTTGAGCCATAACTGAGGGAAAATCACAGATTGCATAATATTCTACTCTTTTTATTACCTGACTGTTTCAATGGTTCAGCATCAAAATGAAGTACAAATATGAAAAAACTAAGACTGCCCTGCATTGTAAGTGCAACATCTAGTAAGTATCATGGAATTTTAAATCACTTGGAATAACATGGCTGACAACCAGATTTTAATTAAAGACAAAAGTATCAGCAGCAAAAAATTCAGTGCTCAGCTAACTGGACTGCACATACATGCACCACTGCAACAGTGCAATGCACGCCCAGGAAAGGTTAATAAACATCTGCAAAAATATTATCTACAAAATAAAACATTTGAATTGTGGTTGGGTTTGTACATTTTTTCCGGTAGTTTTCACTGTGTATGAGTAACGTGTACATGGTTAAATATGTCTTCATAGCATTTACTGTGGTTAAAATTAGCTTTTGAATAAGTAACATGTTTTTACTTGCTTGCATACTAACTGTATTTGTAGTGAGTGAAAAAAAAAAAAAAGACAACCATCTGGTAATCTGGATTGTGTATGAGTGACGTTCATGTTGATACATGTCCCAAAAAGAGTTTGTTATGTTGGAGGAATAAACAGCAAAGGAAGGTGGGTCCAGACCTTGGACCTTGGATATGGACATGCTCAAGAAAGTAATCCCTAGAAGGATAAATTGTGACTCTGAGTGAGTGCTCCTGCCACAGTCCAAATAAACAATGAAGATACTGTCAATAAGATCTAAAAGTTTGTGATGATGGTAAATTGTTACAATTAATATGTTGCTGGACATTATCCATCATCTTGTCTGTTCTAAAAAAACCGTCTAATTTCTATTAAAAAACACAACGTTTCAGGAACTGGAATCTGTCCCCGTCTTCAGGTTAAACCTACTCAATTGGGTCCAATAGACAGTGCTAGTCCCTATCTCTGGACAACTATGCCAGTTTCAGAAGGGGTTCATAAAACAAGCACAACATAATCCATCTGTGAGAGCTAAGAGATATTGAAGCTATCATAATTTGAGGCTTAGCACCAGACAAATATCTAGAATGAAATCATACCGGGAGAGAAGCAATATTCCTTGTGGTACCAACATATGAAACAAATGGTTACCAGATGGTCACAGATGGATTATGTTGTGCTTGTTTTATGAACCCCTTCTGAAACTGGCATAGTTGTCCGGAGATAGGGGCTAGCTCTGTCTATTGGACCCAAATGAGTAGGTTTAACCTGAAGATGGGGACAGATTCCAGTTCCCGAAATGTTGTGTTTTTTAATAGAAACTAGACGGTTTTTTTAGAACAGACAAGATGATGGATAATGTCCAGCAACATATTAATTGTAAGATACTGTCAATTAACAAACGTGTGCACATAATCTAGAACACAACATGGCATACAAAGAGGAGAAGAACATGGAAGTTTTGGCAGGAAAGACTGTACACATCAATTCGGATGCTGAGAAATGATGGCATGCAAGTGGCCAAGAGCACATGAATATGTACACACAGTGGAAAAAGGTGGAGCAGTATACATTTCAAGGGAATATTAGCTTTGATGTATCCAGTATGCAAGTATTGGATATGGTAATGTGCAGATAGTTTATGGGCGCTGTGGAGCCCCTTATTTTCAGGGTAAAAGCAGAAGATGTGTATGTACAAAGAAGTTAACATAGTGAGAAATTCAACTTGCCTCCTTTGGCTGAATATCCCAGGAGAACTATGAGAATTGCTGTGTACTGACAATGAAAATACAAACTAAACATGACATTTCAGATTTACTGTTCTCCACTGAATGCTGAAAGATGCCGAGCTCAGAAACTCTGACTATAGACCAATGACCAAATCATCTTTGGGCCAATGGTTGCAGGAACATGCAATTGTATATATGCATTGCTAATTGATACTATATCATGGCAATGTATCAGAATTGCAGCACATTAATGTGCAGAAGATATGGGAGATTTCCTGACTTTCAATGAAATTACATATGTTTGAACTATAAAAATTAATTAACTGAACATCACAGCATGAAATCGTATGAGGTCTGACAATAAAGTTCACGAACTCGCTACCATGTGCTTCCTGTGGCAGCAGTGGACAGAAACCTTAATATGGTTTGATGATGTCGGCATATCGGTGTTTCACAGCTGTGTTGTTGTTGATCTATGGCAGTCTCTTTCTGAGTGTGTTTTGGTGTACCGTGGCAAGAATGTCAGGGCTCGAATTAGAGCAATGAATGAACATTAAATTTCTTGTTAAACTTGGCAAGAGTGGCAGCGAAATCAGAGGGATGTTAGTGCAAGTAATGCTATGAGAAAAACAGCAGTTTACGAGTGGGTAACACGTTTTCCTGAGGGAAGAGAAAGTGTCATTGATGAAGAGAGATCAGGGCAGCCAGCAATGAGCAGAACTGAAGAAAACATTGCGAGGTTTGTCAAATTGTGCGTGAAAATCGTTGCCTGACTGTCAGGAGCATAGAAGAACAAGAAAATATCAACAGAGAAATAGTTTGGAAAATCTTAACTGAAGATCTTGACATGAGGAAGGTGTGTGCATAAACGGTCCCAAGGACCTGCTCACATGGGACTGTCCACGAGGGAGTTTTTAGTTAGTAAATTAATAACTGTGCTGGAACACCCTCCCTATTCACTGGATCTAGTCTCCAATGACTTTTTTCTGTTCTTGAAGATAACGGAAATATTGAAAGGATGGCATTTTGATCACACTGATGACATCAGAAATAATATAATGGCAGCTCTGAAGGCCATTCCACAAAACCAGTTCCAAAATTGTTTTTAAGGGTGTAATAGACGCTGGCATTAGTGCATAGCTTCCATAGGGGAGTACTCTGAAGGTGATCACAGTGATATTCAGCAATGGGATATGTAGCACTTTTGCCATGATGAGTTCACAAACTTTATTATCACACTACATATGTGGAAGTGAGGTTTATTTTCACATTTACTTAACCTCACAATAAATGGAGCTTCACATTCTGACCCCTTTACTCCCAGAGAAAGAATCCTGAGTATCCACAGGAGAGGAGGCTGAGTGGATCCAAAAGCCAGGCTGGATGCTGTGGAGAAGAGAAAAATCCTTTGCCCTTGCTGGGACTTCAAACCCAGTTCCTTGGTCACACAGCCCATACCCTAGGTGCTATACTGACTGAGCTACCATCCTATGTCCCTTGAATTAGTATGATTTTCACAAATAGCACTAGTATAATGCAACACAAACTTCACAACCTTCCTACCACTTGCAACACACTACATAACCTTACATTCTGCAAATCTTATAAAACACAATATTTCTGAACACATCAGGCAGTGAACAATGTCCAATACAAATCAGGAAAATGTTGCACAGAAGGTATTAAACATTATGATGTTTAGATATATAACATTAATTTCTTCAGTCACTACTGATAATTTTGGTGACATACATTTAACCAAAGATGCTAGATGGCAGCATATTACTCACCCTGTTTGATGAAGCAGGTCACAAAGGAGGAATAGAATGTCTACCTCCAGTGGTGTGATCTGAGACATCATCTGTGCGGAGTGGAGAAACTCCTCTGAAAACAAGAAAGACAAAAAGATCTATGTAATGCACAATAATGGTTTAGATGACAAACTGGTTAATACCATTCTTGAGATAGAAGTGGTATACTGTTCTAAACAATGACAGGAAAAGGGTGTAGAAAGAAGTTGGTGGCCTATTTTAAGGTATCTGGCTGTCTGTGCTGAGGAAATCATAAAAACCTCAGTTACAACAGCTGGTCTATGAGTCAAGTACCAAAACTGGGATTCCTGGATATGAAGACAGCATGCCAGTCATTACAAGATAATATTCAGCACAGATACAAAGTGCTGGAAAAATTATGAGATCCCATTACTATAATATTTGCATTTAGCTCACAAACATAGTCTGAAATGATATATGAAGAACTGATAATGACGACATAATTAAACATACCCTTTGTGACTTCCTGGTTCCTATTGCCATTAGTAGCATTGAGGTAGATCCTCTTTATGAGTTCCATGTTGTTCAGAAGGGAATTGAACGCCATGAAATATGGGAAGCTGACCCATTTGCCCCCTTGTCCCCCCGATGCTGCTGCCACCAAGTTTGCTTTCACTTCATTCGTCAGCAGATGGCTCTTGATACTAATCATGATATCTTGGAAATCCAGGGCAGAAATGAACCCTGTGCCTACCTGGTCATACCTCCGGAATGCTTCCATTGCATACTCCTCATGAAAGTCCTGTAACAAATCAATGAACATGACTGTTTATATCGCATGTGGCAATAACAATAACAAATGAGACTTCACAACATTTGCATTCAGGAAGTGCTTGTTACTCAGTTCAAAAACTGAGAATTCCTCATTTGCTTTCCATACTAATAATGATCATGATATATAAAACATTAATAAATTTACCAACTCTTTACATATTGTGAAATATTTTAAGATCTCAGATCCTTCAGGGATTTGAACCCCAGACACATTAACATTCCTCCCAACAGACTGGCACTGACAGGTCTTGTCTTAGACAGTAATTCAAGGCAATCCCATTCCATGGTATTATAACTACTAATGAGCTTTTGCATTTGGGAAATCCAAGAATGCACCCATGTCTACTGGATATGTGTACCCAAAGACATTATGACAGCTGTAAGGAGTTCAAAATGAGCTAACCAGCTGGCCACAAGATCATATCTCTGTGCACATGAGCATCTTGAATTTATAACTGGCCAATTATTTTGAATGTTAAGAATCAGAAGTTGCGTGAGGAAGAAACTGGATATCCCCTTCCTGCTACAAATTCACTTTATAAGCTCAGGGTTTCATGTCAAGGTGCGGGAAATTCTACCAGTCCCTTGAGGGCAGTTCTTATGTCAGTTCGAAAAGTACTTCAGACTTTGTTTAAAATTCACCGACTCTCTGGGTCCTCTGATTCAAACGTTTCATTATCTGTATTTCTGATCAGTAAAAAAAAAGGTAAAGTTGTCCCTGTGTTTAACTAATAAACACTATGACATGGGGGAGTGTACGTATAGATCCATGTATTCTTGCACTTGGCACTAGCTGGTGGTGAGGGGTCCCCTTCATGCCCCAGCCGCTTTAGCCCTGGGGGAAAAAGCCTACAGTACTCATTGGATAGGAGGCTGGAGAATCAGTCTGGATGTCATAGAGAGGAGAAAAATATTGCCTCTACCAGGACTCAGATTAAGACCCTCAGCCATCCAACCCCAGCAAGTTGCTATACCACCTGTGTTTTGCTGGCTCACATTTCTGATAACTTACACTTAATAAACCTTGTCTATATTGCAGACTGATCTTGATTAAGTACACCTACTCACAACCAACAATCAGAAAGTGACAATCTGCTCAACTATCTACAGGTGTCATCCTTACTTCAGGGTCCAGGGACCACAATCCTGGGAGATTGGGATATGAAAATATGGTCTCTTACTTTCAGTGAAATAAATTATAAACATTTGAAAAGAAAATTATGTGGCTCATGAAGGCTGAAGTAACTTCTCAGTGGTACTGTAACACTGCAAAGAGAAACAGCCTTCTTGTTATTGGTTGTCAAGATAAATTCTAATGGAAAACTTTGGATTAATTTTGCTGGTTCAACTATAGTATTATGTTTTCCTCCTAGGTGAACAGACAGACAAATCAAATTAGTATCATCTTCATATATTAATTTTTCACTTAAGTATTCATTTATGTCTTCTGTTTCACTTTGTACAGACCTGCTATGTGCAGGTATTGTCCTGTCTAATCACAGAGACAGTAGAGTGGCAGTACTGTGTTAATTCAAGTGGAAAGATAAGAAATATTTGCTGTAAGTAGAGTGACATGAAGTGTGGATGCAGACAAATAAGACATCATACCAGATTTCGATCAAGGCTAATTGGGATGGACTCAAATTTCTGGCAGTAGCAAATGGCTTCACAACTGCAGACACTCCCTGTCGTGATGGGGTTTTAGAAAATCAAACTTGCATTCTTCATGCTGCTTATCAAAGTTATACATACACCCCCACTCAGGCACACATAAGCATGCACACACCCACACACAGGTACAATGATAACAAAACAATCACTTTCATGTGAATAACAAATTTTGGTTGCTTGTATTTCCAGGAAAAGACCCAAAAAGAACCTGATGGACAAAAAGCAGAACCCCAGTTCCATTCTGGAAATAGTGGTGAACAGAAAATTTCCAACTCTCACACCGGGTATCAAACCCAAGCCACTTGTTCATACTGACTGTGCCATCACAGTTCACTTGGAGTAATAAAAGTTTCCATGGTGTGTCAATCCCAGAGGCCATTAGGCATTCAGTAACTGCTAATTGCAAAGGATTTTATTTACATGCAAAAACTGGCTGAATTCTCCATAGCTGATGGCTCGCTTCTTGTCCTTGCCAAAATACAGCTTCACAAATCCTCCATTCATATCAAAAGGAATTTTGTTGTGCAAAACCGTTTTCTTCATCACCTCAGAGAATTCATCTGAAAAATATTACAAATAACAAGTATCAGTGCAGTATATAAACATTTTGTATTAAATGTAAATTTTTATAATACACAGTTATGAACACAAGTAACAGAAGACGATATATCATAAAAAGATAAAATGTAACAAATAAATGAAAAGAGTACAAGAATAAATTGCAAAAAGAATAAAAAATTATCAGTTACTTAGAGATATATTTTGGAAATGTGAAATACTAATGTGGGGAAAATATGTTTACTTAAAAGTAACTATATGCCCATATTAATATCTGCAGCTGAAACATGGATATGGTCCATGGCAAATATTTGTAGAATAAAGGCAGATGATATGAGATTTTTAGAAAACCCAGAAAGAAGTACCCACTGAAAAGCACAGACTTCTGAGACATAACACCACATAGTTCAGAGAGAGCACAACGTTTTGTGGAAACACTCTTTTCACCTTCAGGCTTGAAAAGTAAGCCAGGAGAGAAATCAGCAGAAGCAGGCAAAAGTGACACTGCACCTTCAACTTTCACCCTATCCTATAATGGCAGATTTACTAGAGAGCCACCTGATTTGCTTTAGGTATCAGAATAGAGGTGATGTGGGCAAAAGTGGCAGGAGAGCTAGGGAGACAGGAATATGAGATGCTTAGGATGGGGTGGAAGTCACTGTCTTTGGAGACTGCTGCAGGAGTCAGGATTTATTCTTGAACAGTTATTTATTGAAGAAACTCATTCATATGGTGGTACTATTTATTAAAATAAAGTGTACCGTGAGTCAGCAGCCATATACCTTCACACACCCGAACCATTCCGAACTGATTTCAAGTGCCTCAGTAGAGATGCTGCCTGGTCGCTCCAATTGGGGGGGGGACAGAAGCAGCAGCTCTATCCCCTCACATGTAGTTCATATTACATTTCAGGGTGGAGAGTTTGGAAGCCCTGTCCAGGAGACTAATGTTTTCAATTACTGTGAAACAGCCAATTGACTGTCACCAGCAAGCCCAAGAAAATTCCCAAATGGAGTATACAAGTGTGCAATACATGGTTATGATATCTCACTTCATTTGTCATTAACATAAAAGTAAATTTAAATTTTGATCAAGAAAGGGGGGGGGATGAGCTGCAATAGCGTAGTCGGTATAGTGACTGGCTACAGGCTGGACAACAGAGGAGTCAGAGTTAAAGTCCTGGCAGGGTCAAGAATTTTCTCTTCTCCACGTTGTCCAGACTGGCTCTGGGGCCCACACAGCCTCCTATGCAATGGGTACTGAGGGCTCTTTCCCCAGGGGTAAAGCGGCAGGGGTGTGAAGCCAACCACACACCTCCAACTAGTGCTAAGGTCAAGAAAATATGGACCTATACATCCACATCCCCATATGCCTTCATGGCGTAGTGCTGAATTAGTCAAGTACAGAGACAACTTTACCTTAGGGGGGATGAGTTATAATGTTATATTTTAGCGTCCTGTTGCACTGATTTTCATCCATGATATGCATACAGTGGCCGTTTTGTAGTGCACTCAATTTCACCTGTCACTTCACAACATGTTTCGGCAACACAGTGCCATCATCAGGTGTCCCAATTATGTCAATCTATTGCATTGCATGCCCTCATATGTTTTCACAACACCATTTAAAAAGTATTTAAAAAGTCCATATTTAACTATGATAAATTTACACTCGCTAAAACTTGTTAAGATAATTCATCTTATTTGTCTTAATTAAAACTTGCATGTGGTTCATTCACTATGGGGTCGTTTTTCTTATTTTCTGTGTAAACCGCGTCTTGTCATGTGTGTTCCCTTCTTAGCTGCGAGTGTTGTAACAAAACAGCCAAGGAAGACTATGGGTATGGGTACCCTGAGAGGACAGAGTCCATGCTCTGAAGAGGGAATTGTGCATGGTCCCAACTGCCTGGAGAACTACATAAAAAAAAAACCGTGAGGAAGGTTTTTACATTCGTTCAGGGAGAAGACAAGTGGCTTTCATATTTTAAATCACACAACAGACAATGTCCATCGTGGTACCAAAGTCAATGTCTAAATAAAGTGTCTAAACAGTAAGGGACTCAGGTAATCTATAGAATTTTACATTTCCAAATGACGAATACATGAACTAATCTGGTAATCATAATTCCAAATAAAACATCCAAGTCTGATCTTGACTGATCTTATTTTCATTTCTTCAATTTGAAAATATTCTTATTGTACTCATATCTATTACAGTAAAATTGTAATTAGAATTAAATAAACTTCATATGATGGAATGCACACCGCTTCTGTGGTCTACTGGCCGGAGTTCCTGGCTACAGAATCAGAGGTCCCGGGTTCGATTCCCGGCGCTACCAGAAGTAGTGGGTCTGGAACAGGGTGCACTCAGCCTTGTGTTGATAACTGAGGAGCTATTTCAACAAAACAGCGTCCCCGGTCCAGAAAACCAAGATTAATGGCCATGGGGATCCATTGCACTGATCATGTGACACCCACTAACCGCTAAAGTTGGCATTAACTTCAACAACAAGCAGCAGTGCCTCAGTCAGTATAGTTTGCTTGAGGACCACAGGCAAGAGAGTTGTGATGGAATGCTTTGCAATATGTAACCAAAATGGCAGCTCAAAATATATATAAATAGATATAATTTCTTTGTTTTGTGTGTGTGTGTTGAGGTCATAAAATTATATTTGAGTTGTGCTTTTTAAATTCTAAATGTTCCACAGTATGTGCTGTATGAGAGGCCACAAACACATAAATTTCCCACAACAGTTCATCTTTGTAAAGTGCTTATACTGACAATCAACTCACCAAAATGTACCACTCCATTTCCATTTGTGTCAAACAGTTGGAATGCTGTCTTGTACAGGGCATCAGGCACACACAACAGCCCCTCAAAGGCTTGGAACTCAGGAAATGAGATGAGTCTGCAAAAACAACAAATTCACATTACACAAACATTCTCATACATCAAAATTACAACTGAATTACCCTTATGGTAATGCACTGAACTTACATTTGACAGCATGAAGTTTGAATCTTTACTACATAAAAACTATGTGTACTTCCTGTGGTGCTCTTTCTACATAATTTCATAATAATTATTTAAATAAGTTCTGACTAGATCCACCTCCCTTCCTCAGTCAACATCACCTCCTCACCTCCTTCATGCTGATCCATCTCTAGCTAATACAACCCATATAAAGATTCATATGAAATGTTGAAATTATGACAGAAAACTGAACATTACAACCTTTAAAATCTGAAAGTTCATACAAACACTGTTATCACTGTGATCATCACCACATACAATAACTCTCAACTGACCATTCCTTTGTCCAACAATCTATCATAATTTTTGGAAGCATTCCTAATGGGACTCAATATCAGAAACTTGCTATGAGGTGCTATAATTTAGTTCCCAAAGAAATAAAAATTCTAAAAGGTGCATGGTTTTGAATCCCATGGCAGTTCTTTGATCATTGTTCCACACTGTCCATCTAAATAATAACAGAAAGGAAAAAATGGTACAAGGACAAGAATATCTGGTTTCTCCACAGAACTCCTGAAGAAGTAAATAAACTATTCCAACTTTCACTGTGTGATAAAATGCTTAAAAATATACATCAAACAGTTCTATCTTATGGATTGTAAGTCAGAGAAAGGAGGGCGGAAAACAAAAGTCTTGTTTCACTTGCCTGATTCATAAAACAAATGAAGCTAAACATACATCCCTTTAGGGTGATTCCATATTTCTACAAAACTTTCTGTATTTATTTTCAACCCCCCACCAGAAAGAATTATTAGGTGAGAGATTACAATAATTGATATTGCAGTACCAATAAATAAATATGTGCCATGAGAGAATACTGAAAAATGCCTTCCTTAGAGACACCCTTAAGCAGAAATGGATTCAATGTGCCAGTAATAGGACCAACTGACGCTTTTTCTCTTTAAATGTTCAGTAAATGTATCCAGATGATATCTGGTCCACTCTAAAGAACAAAACTGCAGGAGGGTTCTTTGCCTATATCAGCTTGCACAATCAGTGGATGTTTGCTTAGTCCCCACATGAGACGCTAATAAAACCAAGATATACATCTAATGGCATACAGTGATTATTATACCAATTTTGAACTGAAAAGCGTGATATATAATAAAAATAATAAAAAAAACAAAAGAAAGGTGTACAAAAATTTTGCCTGCACATGTATTTCAAATGTGTTCTTAAATAAACATTATGTTGGACACTGTTCATTGTCTTAGGTACAATTACAATATACAAAATTTCAGAAGCTGGATCACTTCTGTCACCAGGCGTAAGTGCGCAAACGGAACCTACCCAGTGGGGCGCAATAGAAGGAGCCAGTCTTGATCACTAGCCCATCAGTCAAGACCAACTCTTTCTGAAGGGCCCAACCGAACAAAATCCTTTCCCATACCAAGTGGAAATGATGGAAGTGGACCTAACAGTGGACAATGTCCAACATAATACATATACATATAAACAAAATTAAAGATGAAATTAAAGAAGACACGAATGCCAATAGAAAAGCTGACCAAGAGAAAGCACATGACGACCGGGAGCACAGGCAAAAAAAATGATTAGAACCAATCATGAAAGGATGGAAGCAAAAATGAAAGAAATAATTGAAACACAGTTCGGTTCTCTAACTGCCAAACTGGATGCCTGGCGAAAAGAGATGCAGGCCGACTGAGAAGTGAGGTAGACCACTGATACGAAGGCAAATCCTTTCAAAATGGAAGAAAGTAGTCCATAAAAGCGATATGCCTAGATATTTACTGCAGCCAATTTCATCATTATAAACAGGTAAAATAACACAATCCTTCCACTGGTAAGTCTTTCTTATTCCAAAAGAAGAACAATTTAAAAAATGTAGACATTTCCAAACTGATGACACAAGCATCACTTCACCAATTAGATACATACCCATCCTTGCTGGTGTCAACAATACCGGCCAGGAGTTTCACTGAATCAGAATTGAAATTTGCATCTGAGTATAATCCAAGATATTTCTGCACAAAGTCGGCCGGTGTCATGTATTTCTCACCATTCTTCTCCTTTGTTGCATACTATAAGAAAGCAAGACGAATAGTGTTAGTGTACTGATTATTAAGTCTTGTAATGGACGCACCATAGCTCAAGCGGTTAGTCGCTGGCTTCCCACGGCGGCGGCCGGGGTTCGATCCCGGGGTCTGGTCAAGTGGGATTTATGGTGGACAAAGTGGGGCTGGGGCAGGTTTTCTACAAGTACTTCGGTTTCCCTTGGCAATTTTCATTCCACCAATTGCTCCACAATCACCCTCACCTATCATCCAGGGCTGGTACAATAGGCCAGAAGTGGCCGCAGTACAAGGGACTTAATCCCACCCCAATAGCAATAAAAAGTCTTGTAATAGTAACAATAACAATAACAATAATAATAATAATAATAATAATAATAACAATAACAACAACAACAACAACAACAACTTTACAAGGATCTTAACAATGATTGTTTCT